GTTTGTCTTCTGTCTTTTGTCCTTTCTTAATCTCCCGTCACTCCCAGTTAGGTTCCTAGGATGAGCTCACACAGGCCATGAGGATCAAAGATCTTTTTGTGCCTTGTTGACTATTTTGTATCTACTTTGGAAATGAGCACTCAGATGCCTTACCCATTTTAAAATGTGATTATCTTTTTATTTTTATTTTTTTGGTACTGGGGTTTGAACTCAGGACCTTCACCTTGAGTCACTCCAACAGCCCTATTTTTGCGAAGGGTTTTTTGAGATAGGGTCTGGAGAACTATTTGCCTGGGCTGGCTTTGAACCATGATCCTCCTGATCTCTGCCTCCTGAGTAGCTAGGATTACAGGCATGAGCCACTGGCACCCAGCTTGATTGTCTCTTTATTACTGAGTTGTAATAGTCCTATCTATTTTTTTAGGTACAAATCGCTTATTGACATACAACTTGTAAAAATTTCCTATTTTATAGGCGTAACTTTTTAATGTTATTCATTGAAGTTTTGACTTTGATGTCCAGTGTACATGTTTTTTCTTTTATTGCTTGTGCTTTTGTGGTCTTACTTAAGGTTTTGCTTAACCCAATGAATGAAGACATACTATCTTGCCTTCAGTGACTTTTATGGTTTCTCTTTTAGTGTAATGTACTTTGAGTTAATTCTCTATAGGGCATGGGGTACAGGGGCCAGGTTAATTCTGTTCCACACTGATGTGCAATTGTGCTAGCACTGTATGTACGTCCTCCATTGAATTGTTTGGGCACATTTGTGAAAAATCAATTGAGCATGAGAGTTTATTGCTGGGCTCTGAACCATGCTGCATCGGTTTATGTCATTTCTTGTGTGAGTTTCTGTAGCTTTGCAGTAAGTTTTGAAATTAGAAAATGTGAGTCTTCCAATTTTCTCTTTTCAAGACTCTCTTGGTTTTTCTGGGACTTTTAGGATTAGCTTGGCCATTACAGCAAGGAAGCCAGCTGGGATTTTGCTAGGCAATGTATTCAATCTGTTGATCAGGGCTTTTTTTTTTTAAGAGGGTGAATATGGCCATCTTAAAAAAATTAAGTCTTCTGATTCATGGGCATGGCTGTCTTTCCATTTATTTGTCCTTTCCAGCCATATTTGTAGTTTTCAGAGTAAAAGTCTTGAACTAGTTTTATTAAATTTATTCCTAAGTGTTTTTCTTTTTCATGTGATTTGTAAATTATTTTCTTTTGGTTACAGTTTATTCATTGCTGTAATGTATAAATGCAATGAAGTTTTACATCTTATAAACTGCTGCTTAATTGCTCTCTAAATTGAAAGGCATAGGGGTTGTTTGCAGTTTTTGCTTTGCAAACAACACTTTGCTGTTCTTGTCCAGGATTTTCTGTATGTATCTGTGCTCCCATGGTTATGTAAGAAAAAGTTGCCTTGATGGGTCAGAATTTGCGTTTTTAACTCGATAGATATTTTTACCTTGTCCTTCTTTGGGAGGTTGGCATTGGAACTTGAACTCAGGGCCACATGCTCGGCAGGCAGGTACTCTCCCACGTGAGCCATGCCCTCCCCCCGCCCTTTTTGCTTTAGTTTGTTTTTAGATAGGGTCTCATGCTTTTGTCAGGGCCGGTCTTAGACCACAGTCAACCTAGCTATGCCTCCAGAGTAGCTGAGATTACAAGCATGTATCACCATGCCTGGCTCTCCATCTTAAGCATTTGTAGGTGCTCAAGTGGCTTCAGAAGTACCTGTGAAGCTGGCAGTGTTTCATATGAGTCATTTTGCAGGGCCCAGTCTTGGAACCCAGGCTCTGGCTGGAGTTAACTTACAGTAGATGCCTTTTGTAATAGATGTGAGACTGAGGAGGCTTGAGAGACATAAAGGTCTAGTCAAGATGGTTGGGGTGAGCCCCATGGTTGACATGAGTTCACTAGGTTATAATCAATTATATTTGCAAAGTATCTGAACACAGGCAGTTTTACATACTAAGGCTACAAGAAGGATGCAATAGCTTGAATGTTTGTGTCTCTCCAAAATTCATGTTGAAACTCAGATCCCAATGCAATAATATTTAGAGGGGCTTTTAGTTCCCCTATAAAAGGGACTGAGGGAGCCTGTTTGAATTTTCTATCCACATGAACACACAGTAATAGTCCTTCTGTAGGTGAGGACACAGAAACAGGGCACCATCTTGGAAACAGAGGTTGGGTTCTCTACTTGGACCTTCCAGCCTCTAGAACTGTAAGGAATGAATTTCAGTCAACAACATACCCAATCTAAAGGTATTCTGTTATGGCAGCCTGAGCAGACTAAGACAGCTGGTCTGGGTTCTGTTTCAGAAGTTTGTTCCTAAATCTGTGCTGTTTCCTTTGGGTTTTGCTCTCCTTGTCCTCACTTGTCGATCTATATGAAAGGGGGTTATGCATATTTAGTGCTTGATGGAGGACCTGGCCCATTTAATATGTCTGTTGCTACTGTCTCCAGCTGTGCTCATGTCCATTGGCCCTGCTCAGGAGAGTTGGGGGAAGGGGTTGGGAGCCTTGATTTGGCATCTCTTTTGGAATCCTAATTGTAGCTTCTATATCTCTGGTGAATTTGATGTCCTGATCAACTTTCCATGTTACTTAAATCATAATGCAAGTGACAAAAGTAATGCCACTTGTTTCTACAGCTTTGCAGACCTTTTCCAGCACCTAACCAAGTACTGGACAAAGCCACTGTAACTGCTTTGTAGCTACAGCACCTCATTTGCAAGTGAGCTTTGCTTCAGTTCTGCTTAGTGAGACCTGGAGGTGGTGTGTGTGTGGGGGGAGGTGTCTCCCCAGCTATGAGTGAGAGAACATATCCAAGTTCTCAGAGGCTTACATTTGAATCTCAGTGGAAACACTTTAAAATTTTTTTGGTATAGGTAGAATAATTAAATCATGCTAGTTAACATAATCTCATTTATTCTTTTTATGGTGATATGGATATGCTATCTTGTTTTTTCTTTTTTAATCTACAATCTTCAAAAAAATTATTAGCATTATTAGTTGCACAGGGGGTTTCACTGTGACATTTACATATGTGCTTACTATGTATCTTAGCTTCACCCTCTCCATCATTTTCCCTTCCTCCCCCGTGCTTAGAACTCGAGTAAGAGTGAGTAAAACAGAGGGGCCAATCTGATTAAAGTACAATATAGACATGTGAAATACCAGTGCCAAATTCCCTCAAATAGTCAATCATATGCTTAAAAAATGGAGGACAGGAAGGTAAAGCAGGTCCTGTCTGAGGGTTGGTACCATGAGAGGAGGGAGGAGGAACGGAGGGGACGGGAAGGTGATGTGGTCCACGTACTTTGTATTCGTGGATGAAAACAGAACAAATTTTTTCTTTTTTTATTATATTCATATGTGCGTACAATGTTTGGGTCGTTTCTCCCCCCTTCCCCTCACTTCCCCCCCCTTACCCCTCGCTACCCGGCAGAAACTATTTTGCCCTTATTTCTAATTTTGTTGTAGAGAGAGTATAAGCTATAATAGGAAGGAACAAGGGTTTTTGCTGGTTGAGATAAGGATAGCTATACAGGGCATTGACTCACATTGATTTCCTGTGCGTGGGTGTTACCTTCTAGGTTAATTCTTTTTGATCTCACCTTTTCTCTAGTTCCTGGTCCCCTTCTATTGGCCTCAGTTGCTTTTAAGGTATCTGCTTTAGTTTCTCTGCGTTAAGGGCAACAAATGCTAGCTAGGTTTTTAGATGTCTTACCTATCCTCACCCCTCCCTTGTGTGCTCTCGCTTTATCATGTGATCAAAGTCCAATCCCCTAGAATAAAATTTTTAAATTCGTGCTGATCCACCTGAATAAAACCCCTCCTCACAGTCAGCTTTGGACTGGACAGTGCAGCTTTTCAATCAAGGTTTCAGATGCTTTTGACAAGGGGGATGTGGAAGTTGTCATCTTTGACAGATTTCCCGCTGGAATGATCTGTGACACAGTTAGACCCAACAAATAGGGCACTCCCAGGCAACCAGCATCGTTGGTTCTTGCCTAATCACACGGTGTGTATTTATTAACTTGACATAAAAATTAACAGAAAGGACAGGACATCTAGATGAGGCCTCTTTCTGAAAGTGAAGTAAAATTAAAATGAGTGTCCATCAAACACAGAAGCAGCTATGTGTAGGGTGAGGGAACTGGTCTTTGTGTGACATGTACACCTTGCAGATGATGACATGACCAGATGAAGCGGTTGGTAAAAATGCAGCGTCTGTCCATTCTGAAACAGCGTCTTGTGGTTTCCTGCTGTTATTTTATTGTGATGTGGATTAGATATCCTTCATCTGCAGTCATCATCAGCGTGTCGATGCCTGTTTATAAACACTTTGGTGTTCACCTCTGTTCCAGAGCAAATGGCTGTAGAGAATTATAAACTTGCTAAATGGAGATTTTGACCAGTATCTGCAAAGCTTTCCAGGACTTGGAATTACCAAGGATTACCTGCAGACGATTCGAAAGCCCAGGGGCCTCCCACCTTCCCGGGCTGAGTTTTCTCAGCACAGAGGAGGGGCTCAGTCAGCTCTCCAGGGGATGCTGACCTTGCCTGAGGTGCTTCTTCCCTTGCCACCTTCCCTAGAGCTGGTTGCAGAGTCCTTTCTGTGTACAATGTTTTCCTGCAGGCAGATTTGTATATAATGTGTGAGACATTGCCAGCGTCTTGTCAGTGTGAGTCATCTGCTTGACTGTAGAGCTGCTTTTCTGCACCCTAAATGTTATACTGAACAGTTTGCTGTATGTAATCAATTGACTTTTCCTCCCCGTGTGTGATCTCTTAACTAGATGGTAGCATCAAAGTTATACTTATCAAGTTTACTAATATCATTTTTTTCCTTCCAAGCAAGGAGGAAAATATGACACTATTCTCAAAAACTATTTTAATAATGGGCTTTTAGGATGAAATTCCTTCTTAAGAAATTGAATTGTGACCATTTTGGATGGTCTGTACAAATACCTTATGTAAATAGTTGCTTTTGAAACTTGGCAAAAATTGAAGAGCCTAATTCCAGGTCATTCGGAGATTTTGTTGGTGGTGCTTGTTGCGATCAGATGGGGCAGGTGCTCCCTGCGCATGGATGTACAGCAGTGCCACTGTGTAACGCCTGAGTGGGAGCTACAGACTTTCATGCCTTTCTATGCCACAGTTGCTTACACTCATGGTGTAAATCTTGACATGCTCAAGGTCAGTGAGAACCTGTGAGTTTCTGTTTTTGCATGGCATAGCCCTGGACCTGAGGAGGGTGCTGTATGTGGGATCCCCAAAGCCCACCCCAAGCACCCACATGCTTTGCCTGCTGGCCCTGCTCTGAGCTGTGTTCTCAGGGTGGCTTCCTAGTCCGCCCCATCCCACAGGTCTGCAATGGTCCCTCTGTCTTTCCTTTGCACAGTAAGAATCACGGTATGTCAAAATGTTTTTTTATTTGAGACACAAAAATGCAAAATCGCTGAGATATCAAATATTTCCCGATCAGCTACGATACTGCTATGTACAAAAGATCTACTGATAATGTGCACACATATAAAAATACAGTATGCAATACCTATGTACAGTACGTGTGCAAGACGCATGGCATTCAGCACGGTACGGAATCGGTTCAGGGGTGCAAACAGCAAATACAAAGGCATCATGGTTTTGCTTTTTAAAAAACAACATAAAGGCAATACATGAATGGACCCCTGATTGCCATAATTTATTAAACTAGTGCTTTAACAAGCAGGGCTCTGTACACTGGTATCGTTCTCCTTTTTTTCATAAAGTGAGATGCTAAGACGTGATAAAACAATGAAAATAAGAGAAACACCTACCATGTTGTATTTCTACTGCAAGCAAGAAACTAACCTCTACACAGAAGGGAAAATAACAAACAAAACTTTGTATTACTACTGAGCATGTAGTATCCTTAAACCAACAAAACAACTCTATACTATTTTACATGAAAACAATAGAGAAATATCTACATCTTTGTGAAAGTTATAACCTTAAATGGATAATACCTTTTTGGGACTGACTTGAGATCTCGTTAGTCTCACTCTAAATAAAAAGTGCCTCCTTTTGGCAAATACTTGGCAATGCCTTTGGTTCCTTTAAAGCATTTGTGTTACTACTGGTTACTTGAGGTCAAGTACTTTTGGTAGATCCTAAACCCTTTCCTAAACGCTCCCTCTTCCTACTGATTAGCAAGACTCCTTACACGTAACATCGAGAGGTAATCGTTATGAGTTCTGGTGATTCTATATGCTTTGTTAAAGCTTTGTCTTGGTAGTTGGCATAAGCTCCGTGACACACTGTAGCTGCGTCAATGTCTCCAGTGACACATCTTATTTGGTTCTGGACAGCACCTTGTGTATCTGAGATTGCCATCCTGTCACAAAACTGTGACGTTCTCCAATCATGGTTCACAGAGCCATGTATGTGCGTGGAGAAGAGCTCTTTTGTAAACATGAGCAGCTTTTTGAATTACAGGCCTTAAATCAAAGATTTCAGGTTAGAAACCCTTTGAAGTGATGCATTTCCTCAGATACTGCAAGAAAGGGTAATGGGAAGAAAAACAGACCTGCTGATTGCCACACAGTCACTTACTTTACAAATAAAAATGGAGCCCAGAAAGAGATTGTTCAATGAGCAAGTGTTTGAAGGTTTGAATTAGGAAACAAAAGTTACTCCATCTTAACTGTTATGTTCCAGTTTTGACTGAAATCACTTAAAAGATCATCTGAAATGCAGTTAGGCTGCTCTCAAACACACTTGATAAACCTGATCTTCCAGTTAGTGTTCTGGGGTGGTTTGGGCTAGCTGTGTCCTCTAGGGCAGTGAGTGCGTTTCTAGTTGGTATTCTCTGCTGCCAGGGTTGAGCATTTGAGGGTGCAGTGGCAGGCAGTGAGCAGTGAGGTGACCTGTGAATCTGGCTGGACTGACCTGAGCTGCTCTGGGGCAGCCACTGACAAGGTTCCTCTCAAGTCTCTATGATGCCTGAGCTCTGGGCTGCTGGACGGCCCGGTGAGCCACTGTGGAAATGGTATATAGGAAACGTGGCTTTTCTCAGCCCCGCCAGCCATGCCAGTGCTCAGCTACTTTTCTAAGGCCAGGTCCTTCTGAGGACAGCAAAGGGACTGTCCCTTTCTTGTGGGAAAGCTGCTTTGTCAGCTGTCAGTGCTGGTTTCAGCCAAGGAACTCTGAAAGGACCCTGGAGTGATCAGAAATTCAGGGTACAAGAAGCCTGAGTTGGCTTTGGTGACAGAATGGGTAATACACTCATGTCCATCACTTAGTGTCCGCTGACTGGACAGCTCAGGGCAGTGGCACTCCACCTTGACATCTGTTCTAAGCAGTATTCACAAACCAGTATATGAGTCAAAGAATGAATGATATATTTTTAAAGAGATTTAAATAAGATATCTTGGTATATAAAAAGACTTATATGAAATAAACACAAATAGTATCTGAGCAGAAACTTCCACAAATTCAGGGTGTGTTACAGATATGTGGCAAATCCTATACAGTAGGCTGCACATTTCAGGAAACGTGAGAACCGAGCCACTGGCCCAGCCCCAGGAGGCTTTCTAGCATTTGCTTTGCTGAAATGTGCAAGATGCCCACGTGCTCCTACACATCCAGACGTTCTGGAAGTTGTAGTGCAATTCTTCTCATTCATCCCACCCCAGTAAGATGACTGGTACCTATGTACAGCAGAAAGTAAGGTGGTACAACCGCTTCAGGATTACGTAGGGAAAGAGACGGGGCTGAGACAACATGCTTCTGGCAGTGATTTTCTTGGCAATGTGATATACAGCAGTGCTACATCCAAACTCTACACATGCATACTGGAAACTCAACTGGCTGTTCTGACCTGCGTTCACTGGCTGTGAAACTAACTTCAAACAACAGCACAAAGTTATCCTTAGTGAAAGAAATGCCCTTCCCTGTCGCACTTACCACAGGGTGACTTGGGTCAAAGAGCCTTGTCTGCAGACTATGGTCTTTGGTCATGGACATTCATGGACATGCATGCACGCACACTACCCATGTGCTCACTCTCACCTGTACCAGGTGGGTGAGGGCTAGAAAGCAACACTTGTGTCACAGGTGCCCGCTGGAGCCAGGAGAGGAGGGCCAAGTGGAATGGTGTGGGTGGGATGGCTGGTGGTGGACTCACCAGCTAGAGATGGATAGACATGAGCACATCTGAAGTGGGTAGTTAGCAACTCATTCAGAAAGCAGGCTCATGAGCAGGATTTCTCTGCGCTGCACTGGGTTTCTGCAGAGCAACCTTCCTGGGGCATGTTTCCAAACCTATTTTAAAAAGCAATAAAGGGACCCACGGTTGGGAAGCTACCTGTGTTGGCGACGCAGGGTTATGAAAGCACGTCGTTACGCAGCGAGCATTGGCAGCACTAGGGATTGTGTCACTGCCATCGGGTGCTAATTCAACCAGCCACTCGTCTAGTATAAGTATGAACCTGATAAACCTCTGACAAAAACCCTCAGCCAAAACTCAAGGCTGAGCTCTGCACAGGAAATGTACCTTCCCAAGTCCACAGCAGGGTGTGGTGGCTGACGGTGTCTGGTTGGTAGAGGCACTGTATCCCAGGCACTTCATCACTGACTTCCAAGCATTTCACTTATGCACAGCTGACTACACTAAGCATGGTGGCCACATCGGTGCCTTTGAGTCAGGGCACAGCTTTGGTGTGCTAAGGTTGGAAGAGGGCTTTTCTTACACAAAAATCAGATTTATAGATTAAAAAAAAAATAACAAAGAAGATCACTTTTAGGCAAAACATGGACTCAGCATGATTCACAAATTCTTCACAATGGGTCAGGCTGCCTCTTGTGTGTCATTGTGGAACATTCATGTGTGACCACCCAGGGAGTCAACCTGGCCCCAGGTTACACAGGGGTAGTGAACAGCACAATGTTACCACTTAATAAAAATCTCCACACTCTGTCATTCACTTATTTTCATTTTGCACACACTTAAAGGACTAGATTGAAATAATTTTCAAAATCCTGTGATAGTTGGCATTTTGGAAAATTAAGAAATGACAAATGTGGTAATTTTTTTTCTATATTAAAAAAAAAAACTAAAAAAACCTCCAGTTTTTTCAATTTTAGGCTTGAGGATACGGCGAGAGCTTGGGTAGATATCCAGTTACAAGCCTATAAAACAAGAACTAGGGACTAGGGATAGAGAGGGATGCCAGTGCTGGGGTCTGGTGGCCAACCTCGCCGTGGGTGGAATGTCCTGGGTTTGCAACAGACTTTCCCCTTACCTTCCACCTTCCATTCTTCTGACTTACCAGTTTAGAAAGATGTTTTATGCTAAAAAGGCTTTGCTTGGTTCTTTGAGATGGGTCTGGTTACCTGAAAGTTACTCAACAACTTTTTAAATATGCAAATACATGTGGCTCAGTACTCTAGAAATATTTGAGTTATTACAAGAAGTAGGACCACTGGATACCCATTTTCTTACCCTAATGTAGGCTGTACAGATCACAATGTAAGATGTACATACAAATGTCTAATATACACATTAGGACCAATCTAATCAACCCCAAAGGCTATTAACAGAATTTTCAGTGTTATTAATATACCTGGATTTTTTAGTGGATTGTATTAGACCAGTACTTTATAGACATCTGGTTATGGTAAAAGATCTTCCATTTAAATTTGGAAATCTAAAGTAAGATTCCAAAACTCACAAAATAAACTACAATACAAAAAACTACACAGGTTTCTGAACAGAACCGAAAGTCTTCGGCTGGAAGCTGTCACAGATCTGGTCAGCGCTCTCCACTGCCTTTGACTCTTGCTGAAGGTTGGTCTGGCTCAGGCCACCTCTATGAAGTACCTGTCTAATGACCTCTCCTCTCCCTCAGGGTGGCCTTGTGTTTTGAGTGGAGCTGCCTGCCCTTCATTAGGGTTGTGAAGTGACACAGAGGTCTAAATGTAGTTGATTACAGAGAACCTAGTGTCATCTCCTGCACACATTACTCTTCCTTATGCTTTTATCTAAAAGGTCTTTTCACCCTTTACTGAATTGGGAGAAACACATGAGTCTTCTTGGAGTCTGTAGGCCCTGTGCTATATAACTGTACAAATCCACTGCTGGACGCAATGGCAAGTTTTCACACCGGTTCCAGGCTATGACCTTCCATCCGTTTGTTTTTCTGTGACATTTTAATTGCAACAATGCCACTATGGATCTATCTCTAAAAACTGACTTCTCAGAATCACGTGCTGAACCTCAAGAACCCTGAGACAAGCAACCTGTGAGGTTAGTCCCATGGTAGCGGCAGGTCCTGTGGGTCCAGAAACTCAGCAGAGAACATGCTTGGTGCGGTGGCGCTGAGAGGAGTGAGCCCTGAGGAGGTGTTGGGCATGGTGATGTCTAGCCACTCCATGTTGTCCAGGTTGGAGTCTGAGAGGTCAAGAGTCAGGCAGGGAGTGCCTGCCGCAAACTGGGTATCGGCGGTCTCCATGGGCGAGTGGGAGTGGTCCAGCATGCTGGAGTGGCTCAGCAGGTCGTTCTGGAGATCCTCGATCAAAGAGAAAGGCTCTCTGTCCTCGCCACTGCTCTGCAGTGGGGGAATGTCATTGGCCGAAGGCAGAGTTCCATCCAAGAAGGCTTCTAGCTGGTTCTCTAAGCTGGTAGACAAGCTGCTCATGGGTTCTAAGGAGATGGGTGGTGCCACTTGGACTTGGGGTGGTGGCCGGGACACCACGGTGTTGATGGGCATTGTTGTGATGCTGGCGGTCACTGGTCTCATCTTGGAAATTGGAGAAGGCTCTTCTTTTATAGGGAGGGAAATCTCTGCAAAATAATTGACAGACTTAGTAAAAACTATTAAAAATAGCAATTACTGGGACAGTTTGCTATTTTGCGATTCCTCTGACATCCACCTGAGAGGCAGGAAGAGAACGCTATTGGTTAGGTGTAATCCTTGACAGTATTTAGGATAATGGACCACTTTAGTTAAACAGGTCAGCACGTGAATTTATTACAGTTGGATACACTTTTAGTTCCGTCCAGGAAGGGAGAACACTGAAAGCACTTGTGTCACATAAGACAGAGTCGACAGCTTTGGATTATCCTCAATCATGGAAAGTGACAGGACCCCTATGTCATACACCCTCCTGCACCATGCACCTGTTAGCACAGCAGCAGGAGACCCTTAAAGAGAGCATGGAACTGTATGTCCTGGCTTTAGGCAGAGACACCAAATATACCCTTAATGTTATGAAAGAACTAATTTTTTTCTCTTTAAAAGTCATCATAGTTGGGACTACATCCCCAACTCAGCCCCACACATCTGTAAAATGTTCTGAAAAGATATAATGCCATCTTATTTGATTTCTAAGAGTGAAAGCTGACACCTGGTTCTCTTGACTAAAGGAAACAAGAATCAGTGTGAAGAGACAGCCTACAGCATGGGAGAGCAAAATCATACCCAGAATACATGAAGCACTCAAGGGCCTGGTGAGTCCAGTTACTAAGGAGGCCAGAGGTGGGTTGTGGCCTGGACGTGCAAAACAAAAACAACAGCAGCAAAACCTAGTGAGGCTCTATTTCAAAGAACAAGCTGGGTGTGGTGGTATACACCTGTCTCCAGCTATGTGGGAGTCATAGGTAGGAGGATCACGGTGCCCTGGGCAAGAAGTCGTGACCCTATCTGAAAAATTAAGGGCTGGAGACATGGTTCAAGTGGTAGAGCACTTCTCTAGCAAGCCCAGTAAAAAGGCCTTAAGTTCAAAACCCAGTACTGTAAAAAAACCAAAAATCCTCAAAAAATTAAAAGCCAACAGAACACATGATCCAATAAGTGAATTGAACAGACCTCAGAAGAACTGCATGTGGCCAATAAATACGTGAAGAAAGGTTCGTCGGTATAGATGAACAAGGAAATGCAAGTCAAATAACACTGAGATTCCATCTCCCCCCAGTCAGAATGGCTACCACTAAGAGGACAGACAAATGCTGGTGAGGATGCAGGAGGAAAAGGAACTCTTAGAGACTGCTGGTGGCAGTGTAAATGAGTGCAGCTACCATGCAAATCAGTATGGAGGTTTCCCAAAAAACTAAAAATAGAGGGTTGGGGTTGTGGCTCAAGTGGTAGAGCACCTGCCTAGCAAGTGTATAGCCCTGAGTTCAAACCCTGGTACTGCCAAAAACAAAAACCAAAAAAAAAAACCATACCATATGGTCCAGTTATACTACTCCTAGGTACACATACCTGAAGGAATCTAAGTCAGCACATAACAGACACCTGCGCACCCATGTTTATAAAAGCACTATTCACAATAACCTAGCTATAGCATCAGTGTAGGTGCCCAACAACCAATGAATGGATAAAGAGAATCTGGTATATATACATGATGGAATCTTATTCAGCCACAAAGAAGAATGAAATGTCATTTTCAGGAAAATGGATGGAACTGAGGAAGACAAATATTGCATATTTTCTCATATGCACTATCTGGACTTTAAAAAAAAAAAGACACGAAAGCAAAAGGGAGTCAACTGGGGAGACCACTAATGGAGGAGGGACAAGAGAAGATGATGGGCAAATATATCAAAATACATCATATGCAAGTATGAAAATGTCATAATGAAACCTCTAATTCTACAAAAATAGTAAAAAGCTAAAAATAAGGAGGCTCACCTGCTCATTTCTCTCCCTTTTTGGTCATGTTTTCTGAGTTTATATAAACTGTAGAGAGCTTGGTAAATGCTTAATAATCACACATTATTTGTTACTTCTCACCAGATCAAGTGGCAAAGTCATGAACCATCTGCCCCAGATAGCAGTGTCCCTCTCTCAGCTCTGTGGACATAACTGCTTTCACTTTTAGGGGATACACCAGGAAACCCTGGAAGTCTGGTTCCTAGGAACGGAGTGCCAGCTATGGGGATGGCAGGTGAGCTCCTTACTTCTCGTGATCTTTCTCATCTCTAGAGTTGTGCTGAAAGCTCTAAGTACAATCTAAGTAAACAGCCTTACAATCGGCCATTTAAGTCTCAGGAAACAAAAAGATGAAATGACGCACTTATTGATACTTTGACATAAGAAAAATTATCTCTTTCAGAAAACATTAATTTTCAAGTTTAGGCTATACAAGATTTTCCAAAATTTTTTTTTTCTGGCAGTACTGGGGTTTGAATTCAGGGCCTCACATTTGCTAGGCAAGCACTCTATCACATAAGCCACTCACCCAGCCCACCAAAAAAATTTTTTAACCCTACAATCAGGGTGTGGAATGTCTTTTTAGATACACCATAAGCTTTAATTATTTTGCAAGGCCAATATAATTCTTAGCAAAAAATACAATTAGCGCATATAGATCTGTAGGGGAATGTCGAGAATTCTCTGCTATGCCAAACACTTTCTGTTTTTTGACTACACTAGAGTTTGAACTCAGGGCCTCACGCTGGCTAGGCAGGTGCTTTACCACTTCAGCCAGGCCCTTTTTTTGTGAAGGTTTTTTTTGTGGTAGGGTCACACAAACTATTTGCTAAGGCTGGCCTTGAACTGCGAGCCTCCTGATCTCTACCTCCTGAGTAGCTGGGGTTCCAGGCGTGAGCCTGGTTTCTGCCAAACATTCAGACCAGAACATTAACCTTAATAGTAAAAGCACCAACTATGAATGGAAGGAAAGTCAGTCAAAATTTAAAAATTCCAATGAAATTCCTTTCTTTCAGGCAATTTAAAAGTACTGTAGAACAGCACATAAAATTGAACTTTTTTCCTCACAGAGCTAGGAATGGTACTCAGGGCCTCACAGATGCAAGCGCTCACAGTGAGCCACACATTCCCAGCCCTTGAATATGTATTTTTTGGTGGCACTGGGGTTTGAACTCAAGGTCTCACACTTGCTAGGAGGTGCACTAGGAGGTGCTCTAACCACTTGAGCCATGTCTCCAGCCCTTTGTTTCAGTTGTTTTTCAGGCAGAAGATCCCTTTTTGCCCAGGAATGGCCTCTGACCACTACCCTTTCTCTCCATGGCATCCCTTGTGCCTGGGACTGTAGGTCCATGTTGCCATGCTCAGCTTTCTGACATGCGGTCTTGCTACCTTCTTGCCTGGGCTGGCCTAGAACCTTGATCCCAGGCCTCCAAAGAATGAGCCACAGTGCCCAGTTCTGAATTTTCTGAAATACTGATTTTATACTTTTAAAGATATGTAAGCTGAGGCATGTTTTTTATGGTTAATATCCACATGTTTAAGACAACATATTGTTAATCTAAGACTTCATGTTATATGTAGAAAGTGCTTTCTCCTTGCCTTTCAATTTTAATAAAGTAACTAGAGCCTAAGCTAGGTGACCTGGTTGTCACAAACTGAAGTGGCACTGGACGAGCTCATCCCATGACAACTGCCATACATGGGACAGCTCTTGACGTTTTAAATGGTCTTCCCTGTGCACCAGGAACACATCTATGGATCAATCTAAAACCACATTACTATCTGAAGCTGAATCATTGAGTTTTCTTCCATTAAAGTTGTTTCAAGGCCTAAATTTAACAGACTTTAAAACAGTGAATTGTTAGAATTAGCATCTATCAGTATCAAAGATAAGCTCTGAGCGCTAGAGAAAACCGTCTTGGACTGTGTTCAGAAGTTACTTCCTGTATGTGTGTGTGATGTGACTTCGACCTACCTCCACTCTTTATAAGGATATCGAAAAGGTCGTCCATCTGCTGACTGTGCACACTGGAAATCTACAACAAAGGAGAGCAAAAGTTAGCTTTCTCTTATCCACTCTTGGGAGTACTTTGAAATGGTGGCCCCATGGCACTTTGTAGGACACGTAGCTCTAATCTATCATGTGGTAACTGAGAACACTAAGCCACTTGCCACTTACCTTGTTAGGTCCACAAAGGGTGAGACAAGGAGCCAGCTCAGCTGACTTCCATGCCTCCCTTCTTTTGTCACTGAACTGTGTCTTGAAAGGCCTCTAGTACTTTATTTTAAATTTGTGTGTCTAAAAATGATCACGTTCTACTGTAGGTATCTTTTCAGCTTTGAGATTTACCAGGCATACAATAAGCTGCACTTAATATAAATGATACAGTTGAATGTTTTACTTGTATGCTCCTGTGAAACCATCCACAAAAATCAAGATGAGTGTATCTATCACCCCAGAAGTTTCCTCATGCCCCTTTGTACTACCACCTTCATTTCTTGCAACCCAGTGATCATCTTTCTTTAACTATAGGTTACTTTTATTCAAATGGATTCATACAGTGTGTACTTTTTTTGGCGGGGGAAGTGAGACTATATCCCTTTACTTGGTGTCACTATTTTGAGATTTCTCCATGTCGTAGTGTGTACCTTAGGGAGTTCATTCCTTTTCATTACGGAACAGTATTCTGCTGCATGGAAAGGCTGCACTTTATTCCTTCATGTGTTGCACATGTGGGTTTTCAGTTTTGGGCTGTTACAAAGTTGCTGTGAACAACATAGGTTTTCTTTTTTCCTGGGTAAATTCCTAGAGTGGAATGACTGGATCACAGAGTGAGTGTACATTTAACTTTTCCAAAATGACCAGTACCATTTTAGGTTCTCATCAGCAGTGTGGGGTTCTGGTTGCTCACATTCTTACCAACATATCACATGCTCGGTTTTTAAAGTTTACACATCCTGTGCGGTATGCATGACCTTGCAGTATCAGTTTCTGTGGGTCAGGGACTTGGGAATAATTTAGGTGGGTGGTTCTGGCTTGTATTATGCATGAGGTTGCAGTCAGCTGTTGGAAGGGCTAAGTGGACTTCAGGCTATGCTGTACAATGCCTTGGTAAAGGTGGTTCATTCACATGGCTGGCACATGGTGCCACAGCTGATGGGCAGTCTCGGGTCCTCTTCGTAAGGCCTTTTTCATATGGCTGCTAGAGATACACATGGATTTTCCAGCGTCTGTAATCCACTGTTCAGCAGGGCAGAGGGGGGATGGCTTTTATAACCCTGTCTCCAAAATCAGATACCATCCCTCCTGGCAATTTTGTCAGAGGTGAGCCACTAAGTCCAACCCAGGAAAGAATGTCCAAGACTTTGCAAAGCTATCTTGAAACTTCATACAGCATCCAGTCAAGCGTGGCTTTTAGTCAATTCTGACAATGGGTGCATTGTCATACATTTCTCTTCAGCTGAGCTACTGAGTGTCTATTACGTGCCTGTGTGGCTTAGGGGTCAGTCAGAGATGGGGAAAAACAGAATTTGGGACTCTTTTCTCTGGCTGGTTCTCTTCAGTTTCCCTCAACTCAATCCACTATTTCTAGACCATAAAGACTGTAGTTTTCCATTGTAACCTTCCTGTTAGCTTGACCCCAGAGCAAAAGTAGCAAAAAGGGGGAACTCATGGCATAAAACTTCCCTCCTCCAAGTGTGGATCCCCCACCAAAATTATGATTGCTTCTAGTCATTACTCAGTGCTTCATGGAGTTGCCTTTTGTATCTTGACCAGGATTTATAGTTTGGTATCTGTGGGAAGACTGAGTAATGTATTAAAAACCAAAGAACCTGAGAATGTACACTAGCACAGGAGGAGGTACACATGTGAAGAACAAGCTGATGTGGAACTTGGCTCCCTCAGTCCATGAACACACTGAGACATGTGAACACCAGGATGCTGACTGAGTCTTAAGTGGGAGACTACACTTAGGGTCAAGGGTGACAAGTGCTGTCATTGCTGGGTACCTGTCATAGGCCACATGCTGTTACAAACAGGAACTCTTAACTCCTCCCAGCTATTGGGATAGCCATGGATACTCCTGCTTTACCAATGGACCGGGAAGGTTCAGAGGAGATGTTAAGCACCTGCCTGAGATCACACAGGGTCACTGGTAGGTGTTAGGTGTGGTGCAGCCTGTCCCCTCCAAGGTGCACTTGCTCCCTCTTGTGAGCAGTCAGTCACTTGTGGGGACCAGCCTGCAGGTCAGAGTCTGCCAGGGAAAGACGAGGCAGGATCAAGTGGATTGAGGGTATGTAGCCTTGACTCTCAGTTTTATGCTGGCCTGCCAAATGGTGGCTTTCAAAATCAGAGGCCTCAATAAAACGTGTGTTGTGGTCACAATCACATCTTTCCCTAACATGACTGATTCCTCTGCCCCAAAGGCAAAGTTAAAGACAAACCGTGAATTTCTGAATAAGCAGTAACTGCAGGCTGCAGAAACTGTCTGGCACTCTCTATAATAAAAATAGCCATTTAAAATATAAAGCTCCCAGCCATAATTTCTACTTAGGCAGGTGAAATTTAGACAAGGCACTCAGTACAGGTCTGATCAAAGTGTGAGGATGACACTTGAAACACGAGCCTGAGGAACCACGCACTGTCTGCCCTCACCTCTGGAAGGCCCGACTGCACACTGCGTGTCTGCTTGATGGCCTCCTCATACCGGGGAGGATCTTTTGTCTTGGTGACTGGAGTCCCAAACAGAGAATGCTGGACGACAAATTGCTGGGGCGGAGGGGGTGAGCTAGGCTGTAAACAAAGAAGGAACATGTGTTAACTCCTGGCTATGAGCCTGCTCCCTCTCTGGGGAGCCTCTGCTCTGCTGCTCTTCTGCAGTGGCACATGGGTGGCTGACAGCTGGTGGTCCTCCATGCAGGAGGCCTTATCTTCACTGACAAGAGCTGAGCATCTTTTTAGCAAGTCACCATCACTGTATTTTTTAGCCATTTCACCCCCTCAATATTGACATTGGATCACTCCATGCCTAAGGCTCCAGGCACTGCAAGGACTGTGAACCAGCATGCACCGTGCCCACCATGGTCAGCATGGTTACCTTGCTGGGTGGGCTGGGTCCGTTTTGCAGGGGTGGCAGTGGGGTGGTTCTGGATTGAAGGGTGCTGTTGGAGACCTTGCTGCTGAAGGGCTGCTGGACCGCTGGAGCCAGCTGTCTCTGATATGGAAGGACTGTACTTGGTGCCGAATTGGTGAAAACCTGCAATGAGTAAGTGTTTCTCCATCAATTCATTCTTTTTTTTCTTCCCAATGAAGTAAAGAAAACCTCATTTCAGAGCTGAGGCTGGCACACTTGTGTAAAGGGCCAGGCCACGGAATATGGAATCTAAGCTTTGCAAGCCACACATTCCCTGTTGGAAGCACCACCCTGCCTGTCACAAAAGCAGCTGTAGGCAGTGTGAAATCAATGGGGGAGCTGTGGGCCCGTGAGATGCATCGACAAGCACGGTCCTTGCTGCTCATCACTATCGTGGGAGAACGGGCTGCTCATCGTGCCCTCTTTGATGACAGCTGAATTCCTCATGTCCCTCATTAGATGGACCTCTTCTCTCTCATGGTTTTATGGTCAGGATATGCCACTAACCCCCAACCCTCTCCACTTTCAGTCTTGCGTCTGAGTGTCAAAGCCATGTCCACACCATCTCCCTGGACATCTCAGATTAGCATGTCCAAGCCGGACCTCCTCCTTTCCTCCCGGCCACTGGCCGGAAGGGAATTCTCAGCTCCACCTTTGGCTTTGGTTTTCTTTTTACACACAGGCCAGTGGAGCCATCGGGAGACCTAGCTTTCTCCCTCAGCACATGCACTTCCTAGGAATATCTCTGGTCAGGCCTTTGCTGATGCTTCTGACCCCCACACGACAGCCCCTACCCATTTAACTGCTTGCCCCTCCTGCCTTTAAGATTTGCAGAGGGGAGTTTCTTTCTGTAGAACCCCAGAATGTTTTGTTTAGCTCCATCAAGAACCAAAAGTGTAGGGGCCTTTTACAAATTATGGTCATGTTGCTTACACTATACTGTATTTCACAGAACTTGGTTGCTCATAAAAACATTTAATATAATTTATAGCACTCATCTTTTGAAAGAGGAAGCTCTCTATATTTTTATCATAAATATACATAGATATTTGTTAAGCATGAAAATATGTGTATACATATCCCTCCAAACAGTATAGCCTCTGTGGGTGAGAAGTTCTATAAACACTCCTACTTGAGTGTATAACTGACAAAAACTTCCTTTAAGGTAGAAGTAATGGTTCCTAATTCTAGTATTTTGAGACTTATTAAGCCCTTAAATATCCTGTCTATATATTGTTTTTCTCTCTCCTTACTAATCCAAAGAAAATGTAACACTATTAATCTTATACTAATATACCAGAATGGTATTTTGGGCTTTCCCAAAACTCAGGTCAAAACAAGTACAATTCCTTTCTCCTTGCATTTCTCAGAGGGTCCACAGGAAAGAGCACATGTGTCAATTGGCATGACTGTTGCTGATGACAGAGGCCCTTCTATCTGTTCTAGAGCTGTCTTAGCCCAGATAGTTCAGGCTACCTGAGGCATATGGACAGGTACACCTAATTACCTAGGTTCTTTTCTGGTAAAGATTAAAACTCTAGAGCCGGGCACCAGTGGCTCACGCCTGTAATCCTAGCTACTCAGGAGGCAGAGATCAGGAGGATTGGGGTTCAAAGCCAGCCTGGGCAAACAGTTTGTAAGACCCTTCACAAAAAAAAAGGGCCTGAATTCAATCCCCAATACCGCAAACAACAACAACAAAATAAAACAAAACAAAAGACCTCTGAGATGAATAATTCTCAAAGTTTAAACTAAAATACCTGTTTTTGAGGCCTTAAGATTTTTTGGTAAAGAGAGGTGCACAGAGCTCCACCTACTGGATGAGAGGGAAATTTACCTCAGGGGCTGCTGAACATCAGACTTTGGGGCAGGGTTTTTTTTTTTAAGTAGGCAAGACACCCAAAAGGGGCAGGATCTTGTGCAGAGGATGAGTCTGAGACCAATACCTCATCTCAAAGATGAGGAAACTGACACTTGGAAAAACTAAGTGAATTCTGCCTGGGTTAAGCAGCTAAGATATGGCAAACTGCAAATGAGAAAACTACCTGGGTGTTTTTTTTTTTTTTTTTTTGGAGACAGAGTCTCACTATACAGCCAGACTGACCTCAATCTTTTGATCCTTCTGCCTCAGTCTCCTGACTGCTGGGATTACAGGCGGGAAACACCACACTTGGCCCTCCTGGCTCTTAATCCATGAGGTGGTAAACTCTTACAAATACCCTTATGTATAAAGGTCTTACTTGAGATAGAAAGATCAGAAGTATCTTTTTCATCTTCAAATATCTTTTCCCAGGGAAAAGAAATTTAAAATAGCAAATTATATATATAAGCATTTAAAAAAATACATTTGAAACTTATTTGGAAAAGAGATTTAACTGTCAAGCTGTCTTTCAGTAGTAAAGTGCTCTTTCTTAATCCCAGATAACTGCCAAATGGCCTCTGACCTAAGGCGTTCTAGGGAAGGGGATCAGAGGACATCACACAGGGGCTTCCCAAGGAAGATGCTCATGGACCAGGTGAGAGGATGACAGAAAGGATAGGCAGCAGCCTGACCTCACTAGCATTCACCAACCTTTCTGACTTGCTGAGGCTGGCTGAGCACGTGCTGTGGGAATGCCTCTTGCTTCTGAGGTACTGAGGGTGCCAAGCCCGAGGGCAAGGCCGCAGTTGGTATTTGTGGAGCAGCTGTGATCCGAGGCTGAGTCTGGATTCCTGTCTGTGGTGGAGTCTAGGAGGTGAATAAGAATCAGTGTCACTGTGAGCAGCAGAGCTGGAATCAAGAGTTTTGATGGAGAGTAACGGGTCACTTGGGAATCCCTACCTAAAACAGCACACTAATGTTTCTATCTGTTCACCTGTATAAATCTGGACCTTAATTCTTTTAAAACTTAACTTTAAAGGGTACATAAAAACAGTGTATGTCAATGGGGCACCATGTGATGCTTCTATACACGTACATATCGTGTAATGTGTAAATCAGGCTCAACACAGCTATCTCCTCAAACCTTTTTTTTAGGATGCTGAGGATTGAATCCAGGGCCTTGCATGTGCAAGATAAGCATCTGCCACTGAGATATATCCTTTACCCCGTGACATTTCTTTTTATTTTTTTTGTGGTACAGGAGTTTGAACTAAGGGCCTTGCTCTTGCTAGGCAGGTTCTCTACACTTGAGCTAATCCTCCATGACCCCTTCCCCTGATCATTTCTTTATGAAAAACATACATAGTCCTTTCTCTCAGCTTTCTGCAATGTACAGTAACCCTGCTGCACAATGGCACACTGGCACTCCCTGCTCCTATTTAACTATGACTCAGTACCAACCCATTGAGCACTCCTTAGAACTGCAACAATTCTAAGCCAACATCAAGCACCAGACCAGTTGTTTTCATGCCCTTATTCTTTATGTGGCTGAGGTTTTCGTCTGAAGATTTTGGCAGACTAGAAAACTGAAATAAGAATGTATGCTGGCTCTATTCACAGTAGGTTTGGTACTGCAGTACATTTAATATGTAGGGAAATCAGTGAAACCCAACTGCCCAAATCCCTGCTCTCAAGCTGCAGCATGTACTCTCTGGGGACAGCCTGTGTCATGCCAGGTGAACACAGGCCCAGAATGTAATGTGGGCTTTCTTTCTACATCACCTCTAATAGAACATTTAGATAATTGTTTTAAAAAAGATGTACTATAGAGTAGACTTTCAACTCACAGATGCGCTAGACAAGACAGGGGACGGAGACTTTTTGCACATGCTGAGGGCATTTGGGCTATGCCTTCTAAACCTAGTAGTATAAGATTATTTATCTCTGCTGTATCAGGTATCAAGATTGAGAAGCACTCATCCAAGTGCTTTTATTGTTTACTTATGATCTACACGTGGTTATAATCTATCAAAATGACACCACGTAAAAGCAACTTAAGGTAAACAAGTTATGTAGACAGGAACAGGAATTTGATTCTCTTAGTGTTTGTTTCTTTCACTCCTAAATCTCTGCTCACATTTTCCTTGGTTGAGGCAGGATCACATTAATAGCCCTCCAGAAACTAAATGTGGGAGGCTTAATGTAAAAATGAAGTCGGAAGACCTTGATTTAAACATCAGCTCTGTCCTTGGGGCAACTTACTAAGCCCTTCTCAGCCTCAGTTTCCTTACAAAGAAATGGGCTCTATCACTTGGACCTTCTGGGGAAAGAAAGGGTACTGGAAGCTGTAAGAAGTGCACAGCAACCATTATCATTGTGCTAATGTCACTGGTCTTTTAAAGCGTCTGTATATGATACCATGTCACTAAAGGGAAACAGTAACAGAAATAGAAAGGCAACAGGGTTGTTTTCACTCTATAAAATGCTGGCCACTCCACTTTTTGCATGGCCCTGCACATGGCTGAATTCATGAAAAAGCTCAGGGATGGCTCCATCACTGGCTGGAAGGCAATGTTATAGACATGTGTCCCACCTGGAGCTTGAGGCTGCCTACTGGGAGTTGCACTGAGGTGACGTTCGAGCCCTGGATGGACACCGGGAGCAGCAGCTGAGCAGTCTGTGTGGTCAGTAAAGCCTGTGGCTGAGCAACAACAGTGGGTGGTTGTCCCTGAGAACTCACATAGAACTGCGAGACGACGCTCTGCGGTTCTGCCTGGGTCACGGGGACCTCTTGCTTGATGACCAAGGCCTTTTTGGCAACAAGGTTCTGGCTGCCAGTGGCGATAGGCTGGCTTGCAGAGTGGCTGGCCACTGGGGCGGGCTGCTGGGGGCTGGAGCAATCAGGAAGTGAGGACTCATCCTTGATGGAGGAAGCAATGCCGCTGTGTTTCTGGTCTGCTGTACTGACAGTGAGCATGGGTGGGTTGGGCTGGGGTTCTGCCGGCCGCTGCTGCTGCCCTCGTTTCTCAACCTCCAGTTGCATTTTGAGAACCTCCACAAGCTTCTGCTCCTGCTCCAGTTTCCTCTTTAGCTCTTCGATTTGCTTCTCTTTCTCCTGAAGCTTGCGGTCCTTCTCAGCAGCGTCCAGTTCCAGGGTTGACAGAGTGCTGCTGGTAGGGCTCAGGCTGTCCTCATGGTTTGCCACTCTCAGGGGAGATGAGCACAAGAACTGCGAGGGTGACATCATGGTCATGATCTCAGTGAAAGTGTCCGCCATGTTTGTGTCATCAGTGCTGAGACTGGACTGTTCAGAGGGTGATGGTGAGATTGGCAGAGGAGAATGAATGCTGTCCATGTGGGCTATGTTGCTGGGTCCAGCAGATGGCAGTTCTGCCTTCAAAGTGGAGACTGAGCTAGTCACGGCATTCTGTAGTGTTGTGACTGGCAATGCCACAGTGACTTCTGGGTTACTGGTGACGATGGCTGCTGACGACACTGCCACAATACTTCCAGTGGCAAGGCCACTGCTGTTCACCTCCTGGTAGGGTTTCAGGCGTTCAATGAGGTCTGGTTTGGTGCCTGACACTGGCAGACCTCTTAATTTCAGTTCTGTCTTCAGTTCTGATACCTGGAGATACAAATGGATCAGATCTCTTTGTTTATAACTTTCTGGTAAATCAACAGAATACAGTGGTTTCTCCTTACCCTGGGACTGTATACTAAGACCTCCAGTGGATGCCTGAAACTGCAGATACTACTGAACCCTATATGTAAACTGTTTCATCCTCCACATACATACTTATGATAAAACTTAATCAGTAAATGAGGCATGGTAAGAGACTGATGACAATAACTAATAACAAAAATAGAACTATATTGTAATAAAAGCTGTGTGGTCTCTCTCTCCATGGTGCCTGTATAAGGCATATGCTCAGTGAATGAGAGCCGCTGGTCATCTTGAAAGATAATATTTAATGGAAGTAAAAAGAAAGTACCTGTATAAAGGCTATCGTGTTGCTAAAGCTGAATGTCAGCTGAAAACTACCTATACCTGAAGAGCAGTTTCCAACCATTCACTATGTGCTTGTGGTGCTTATGTGCGAATGAGCTCTATACGGAACTGTCACCTTTAAGTCGTCCAAGCTAGAAGGCAGAGGCCCTGGCTTTCTTGCAGGTGCAGATGTGCTCTGTCTGGGGGGATTAGGCGTAGCATTGTTCAAAGCCGGAGTCCCACTGTTGTTATTTTTGTCATTTCTTCAAAAGAAAAAGAAAATTTGCTTATATTAGGATAATTTCTAGGTTTCACATTACCCATATCAACACTTTACTTATGAAGAGAAAAACACTATGGTCATAGATTGGAGAACTCAATATTGTAAAGATGTCAGATAAACTAGATCCCAATAAAATCTCTGCCAGTTTTGTCTGCTTGTTTTGGGGAAAGTGAAAAGGTGATCCTAAGCTTTAGGTGGAAATTCAAAAGACTAAGAATGAAGGAAAGCAAGGTTGGCAGAACCACACCATGTGCTATCAGCTCGTATCACAAATCCAGTTATTGTGATAGTGTGGTGTTGGTGCAAGGACAGAGTAACAAATGTGAGAGAACAGAGAATCCTGAGATGCATCTCCTTCCACACACACAGGCCCTTGAGCTCTCAGCAGGTGATGCTGCCATGCAGTGGACACAGGATGGACCTTCCAAAAAAAATGGTGCATGCAAAAAAAAAAAAACTATTGCTCTACTTCACATCATTCCCCCAAATCTAAATGTGAATTATGAAAACATTAAGCTTTTATAGTGAAATATCTTCATAGCCTTTGGATGGGCAGATTTTTTAAAAAAGGACACAAAAAGTCACTGAATAGGACGAGGTATTTATATATCTGAAGAAGGCCTCATTTCAGAACAGATAAAACCTAATGAAAAGTGATGGGGAAGAATCTTAGGTGTATCACAAAGTATATCATTCACAGTCAATAAAGATGTGAACAAGTACCTAATCTCATTAGGTGTGAAAATGCACAGCACAAAGAGTCATGCATATGGAGCAGAGCTGCTGTATGATGACACCAGGTGCTTGGGACAACCAGCACTCTCATCGCTGCTGGTAGAAGTGTGACTTGGTACAACCATTTTAGACAACAGTTTCGTAGCACTAGAGAAAAACTATTTCATAGCCTATCTCATGACCCAGCAGTTCCCTTCTTAGGTAGAAATCTCACAGACATACATCTAGCATAAGACGTGAGTATAACAGATGGATAAATGAGTGTACAGCCATATACAGAATACAAGAGAAATAAAAATTATTATTTACACCAATATGGACACCTCACAGTGTTCCACAAACGAAGCCAGACCCACAAGTGTACTACAATGTTGCATGTATTTAAAGCTCAAAAATAAGCAAAACTAGGCTATAGGGAATAGAAGTCAGCACAGATGACACAAAGGGAGTCTTTGGAGACCGATGATGTTGGTGCCTTAGCTGTCAAGCTCTAAAGTTGGTTGCTCTGCACTTACTTCCCCAGACCCTTCCCTCAGCCTCTTCTGTCTGGAGGCTCATGGTGACGTTGGTGCTTCCTTCCCTGGTGTTGAGGCCCATGCAAGAGCCATGATTGGATGAGAGTTCTCTAAAGAGCTTCAGGATGCCTTTGGTAGAAGCCAATGCTGGCTTTGTCAGCAGCTAACTCTTTTAATTAATTTTTGATGGTACTGGGGTTTGAACTCAGGGTCTCACGCTTGCTAGGCAGGCGTTCTATTTGAGCCACTCCACCAGCCCAACAGCTAACTCTTGAGATTAATTTTCAAAACTTCTATTGAAATCAAGATATCTGAAGTGTTAGACATGAAGTTTCTTGAGGTTTGGATGAAATGGCAAATATTTTATGATTATTTTGCTTTCAAAAAACAAAACTTTTACATCTCATGTTAGAAAAATGAAAATTTTCTTTAAATCAGTGTTTTTCAGCCTTTTATTCGTTGTTGGGTACCCAAGTAGACTTTTTCTGAATTGCCTTCCCCATGAGGAATTAATACATAAATGCACTGCTTACATCTACGTATTGTCTGTATGCCTGTCCTTTATTACATCAAATGAGTAATGCCTCTGCCCCCAAACCACCTTCTATTCCTCATGAGTGATGCTCTCCCCTGGAGAATGCACACTTTAATTACTCTATCTGTGTTGTCTATTTGGTTGAGATTCTACAATACTTGTGATTATGATTCACTGTTTAACTTATTTCTATTATTTTAAAGGCTGAATTAATCTATCTTTCACTCAAATGCAGAGGACAGGAAAGGAGGAAGGGAACCAATGGATGTGGTCAGGATGCAGATGGGAGACTGAAGTTTGAGGGCCGCTACGTGGCTCCCTCGATCTTCTGTGACTTTGCAGTGTGCGGTCAAGGCTGGTTTAACTAAAGCCCAGGCTCTTATTTATTCCAGGGCATCAAAGCGCTACAAGACAGAGGTAAAATCCCACTGCCGTGGGTACTGCACGGCTTCTGGTTTTGTGATGGAATTTGGTAAAGATAAGCAATGCACAGTACTAGAAAACAAAGCCTCCATATTTAGGATCTGGAACTGAGATAGAACTTATGTCCAGGCTTTGTGTGGTGAAATAACACACAACAGTAGATGCTTCTTCTTCTCGGCTATGATCGTTGGGGGAGGAGCAGGATCTGAAGCCCCAGTGGGAGTCATAGGACTGATGGAGCTCAGCTGCTCCATACCTCAGGTCCTCTTCCAGCTGAAAGCTGGCCCTGCGCAATACATGCTCTCATTACAAAGGAGTCTATTTCACAGTGAGACAGCTATAGGATTTTCTGCTATAGTTTCCTAACAGTGTGTGGGTCCAGTAATACCAGTTTCTCTTTGACTTAAAGTGAGGCTGCTGTTGAGGTCAAGGGCTAATGAGGACAGGGCTGGTGTACTGTAGGTCATGAATAGCTGGCGTCATGATTACCACTGCTGCTGTCATTATTATTCATGCTTAATGCCCAAGGAGGCGTCAGTGCAAGACACCTGCCTAAGTCTTGGGCAAAGGAAAAGTAGTGGCAGTTCCTTGGATACTGTCCCAATTCTCTGTGACCTTCCCTGGGTCCCTTCCAAAGTTAACAACTTACTGTGGCCTGTTTGCTCTTAAAATGTTACAAAATTATTTCTTTCTTCATGTCTATGCTGTGATGTTTTAGACAAGTACTTCACAATAAGGCTGGAATCACTATGAGGCTTAACCTTTCTTAAGATATTTGTATCTTAAGACAAAAAAAAATTGACAATCACTTATATATGAGGAGATATTTCTTGACAGAGAAGCTTTTTAGTAGGCTGTTATCCTTTTCTGATATTAGAAAACAGGGCCTACTATGGAGGAAGGCTTAGCCTGCAAGCGTGAAACAAGTAGTTTCTATGGGTCCTCTGGTCATAAACTGAGTGGCTTGATCACAGAGTTATTTTCCTTATGAGCCTTTTATCTCTTTCTAGAATTTCCTTCTCTACAGCTACATGCAGATACTCTGTTTGGAGAATGAGGTAGGTGAAGGATAAGATCTTATATTTTTATGTGCGAGTCTCAGAAAAAGCATTGGAATGTGTATCTAAAAATTTTCCTTTATTAATAAGCACATATGCTGTCCTTCATGATGGGGCTCAAACCCTGGAAATGCCTTCCTTCCCCACAGCTGTGGGCACCCAACCTTTCACTGTTCCTGAGTCATCTGTTACCTGTTCCTTCTATTCTACCATCAGTGCCTTTTGTCCTCATGTTTCCAGATGCTTTTGCGACCAGTGTCTAACCGTTCTTTCTAGCAATTCACTCTCTCCTGTCACCACTGTCCTGAGACACTCCACTGTTGGCATGTGGAGTAAACCCTCATGCCCAAATTCAAGCCCCTACAGACACTGGCTCTACTTAGTTTTATCTTCCTCTTTTCTTAAAAATCAGTTGCATTCTCCACTAGGTGGCTTTTCTCACCATCTAGCACAAAGACACTGAATGTGTACCCCTTCTTCTCTACTAAGCTAAGGCTCCCATTATACACTACACTAACAAAGGTGCTTCCTGAGCCTTCCATGTGGAAATACCCTGCTGTTTGTACCAAGCCCTCCTTGGCCACTTCTGCTTTTATGCCTCCCTCTTTCTATGTAGCTCTTCATGCTTCATATGAAGAAGCATCTAATACTGATGTGAGTGTTTAATAGACAAATCTTTCTAGGATCAATAATTGTGAAAAGGCACCCCTAACTTGCAAAAGCTCAGATTCTATTTTGGAAGACAAAGGCTGGACTGGAAGGCGGGCCATCCTTACTACATGACTACACTGTGAGCCTGGATAACTGCAAAGTGATAGCATCCACTGAGCACAAACTCATCACTGCACCGACCTCTAGTAATTCAGGTTCTGTTAAACCCCACAGCCCCACCCACTTTGGGAAGCGCGCGGACTGCCCATACTTGATGGGCGCAGGCAGGATGGCCTGGTAGCTGTAGTGCTGCTGCTGCTGGCTGAGGATCTGTAGCTGCAGGAAGAGCTGCTGCTGCTGGAGCAGCCGGGCGTAGTTGGAGTCCATCTGTGGTGCATTCTTCTCTCCCTTCTGATCTGGTGGAATGTATTGGTGGTACTTTAGCTTCTTTACTCGCGGTTTGGGATCTTTGCACTTTTTGCTACGGTGTTTGTCATTTGGATTCTTGGGATGGCTTTGCTATTTTTTGAGGAAGAAAAAAGAAAAATTTAAGAGGTAGCACAACAGGAAGTCAATTCTACTGTGTACCTAAAAAACTAGTACATATGTTCTGGGAAGCAATGTGATCAGTACATTTCAAGAGCTATGGAAAAGTGTACATGCTACTTTGACCAAGAAGTTTCTCCCCTGGACTCTTCCCTCGTGCACATGCAAGATGCTCAGCCCAGCATTAGCTATGCAAATTTATTGTGGGTCTCCAGCACAGACTCACTACTAAGTGTGCACATGTATTAGGCTGTACACTAAATATACACTAGGGAAAACATTAAGTATATTTTGCTGTAACTAATATTTAAAAATCTACGAAGGATATGTAAACATAGAAAAATGCTTCTAATGAGAAGAATTTAAAAAATTTCTAGATGTTACATTTCTACTTTGAAAATGGGTGAGAGACCGTACTACCCTTATATCTTAGAACTAACACCTTTTATCCTGGTTCTTCTCTTTAGTTTATAAGTTACCAGATTTTCTACTTTTAAGCATTTATAGGATAACTGCATCTGCTTTTTTTCCTTCCCCTTCATTTGGTATGAATTGTTCCTTGTCATCATAGAATATCTCTGCAACACAATCTCTATGGCTGAATTGCAAAATAGTCTGTGACACAGCCAGAGGGGTGTGGAGCCAGCTGACTGACTTGTGTGAGCCTAATGTGTACATCTTTCCCCAACTCTGTATTTGGTGATGTCACACTCATAGTGTGAAACTGGCCATGGTGGGATCTTGTATACCATGATTGGCAAAGACTAGATACCCTGTCCTTTGACCCCAGCCAAGTTGTTACATGTTTACAAGCACACCACTAGAAGAACATAATCCATTTAACTAGTAGCCTGTTTCTGAACTTTTGTAAATCAGGATTTATAAAAAGTAAATGTGTGTTGGAGAGGACTTATCCTTGTGACTTGCCTTCTTTCAGTCCTGTGGACATGCCCCCTCCCTCTCCTTACTTTCTCCACAACCTGTCACTTCCACACGTACTATTCTTTCACTGTTTTGGTCTCCTGGTTCCTTGACTTCATTTACTCTAACTATCTCGCCTTCCTCACTGCTCGCTACTGTGGTTATCATAGATCCTACCACTGGCTGATCTGTACCTCCCCATTTCCCAGCACCCACACTATCACCTATCATGCTGATGCCATTGAGACTGACTCTCTTACCACTCCTACACTGCCCCTTACTTCCCTCTTTATCCAGCTATACCCCAAGGTCCACTCACCTCATCGCCTGCCTTTTGTCATGCTCACCTGGCAAAACCCTACTCCAGGGTCTTGTCTACCTTAAGGTTTCTCAACAGTGGCTCTACTGACATTTCAAACTTGGTAATACTTGTTAGATTATGCTGTGCATTGTAGGGTACTCAGCAGCACCCCTCCCCTACATGTGACAACTATAAATGTCCCTGGGGTAGGGGACAAACTGCCTTGTTGAGCACCACTGGTCTACTCCAGGCTTGTACGCACATAACTGGAAATACTGTAGGGAAACCCAAAACCACACTGACAGACCTCATTTTAAATTCACGACCACCAACCTCAAGGGCTCATGAGTGTTGGCTGACCATCCTATTACGTTTTTCAAGGCCAGGTATTTTCCTCCTCTTTTAGAATACTACTCTTTTCTTTTCCCCTCCTCTCTATGGTGTCAACTGCTGACCTCATTTCCTAACCACCAAGGAAGTGAGGTCACTAAGGAGCTCCCACATATCCCTAGGACTGCTGCTCCTGGTTGCTTCTGTGGCTTTCCCTTCTGTGGATACAAGCAGTGGGCAAGCTGTTATCTCAGGCTGGCACCTCCCCCTCCTGATCCAGAATTCTAATAGTTCCAGCAATCCTGGATCTTCCCCATTGGTTCAAGAACATTCCAATCAAGCTGTAGACTTTTCCCCTGCTCTTTTCCAGCACAGATGCTCAAAAACATCTTTCTGTGACGCTGTCCCTTGTAACCTCTCTCTGCCTACTCACCATGTTTTGCCTCCAGCATTCAACAGAGGCTGTTTTTGGTTAGGCTACTGTAAGATGGCTGTTGCTGACTCCCAGGTCAGTTTGCAGCACTTTTCCTAACAGATCCACAGCAAAGCTCATATGGTTGAGCTTTCCTTTCTCCTTAAAGTGTTTCCCTCGGCTTCTGGGCCCCTACTTGCCTTCATTACTCATTGCTATTCCTCAAGCTCCTTTGCTGGTGTTTCCTATCTCCCCTAAATGCTGTGTACCTCAGGATTCAGTTTTTGTACCATTTTTCTAGAGACCCCAGATCCTTTGTCTTAGTACCCAGAGCCGTGCCTACACATGGAAGGTGCTCATCAGTGCTGGAGGAAAGGAGTGATGATGAATGCTAGAGGCTGCTCAGACACTGCTTTAATGGCCAGGCTCTTAAAGCACATCTCATTGTTGGAAAATAGTTTTACTTAAGCATATCCCTGCAATCTCATAAACAATTCACTGTCATCTGCTATTTTATTACCATTTGATTTTTAGTCTTTTCAAACTGATCAGAAGAATGGGGTCTGAGATAATCTATAACCTCAAATGGGGGTTCAAGTATTGATATAGATTAGAAAACAAGTGAGCCAGCCACAGTCAAGAAGGCAGCTGGGCCCAGGTACCAGTGGCTCACGTCTGTAATCCTAGCTACTCAGGAGGCAGAGATCACAAGGATCAAGGTTTGAAGCCAGACCAGGCAAATGGTTCGTGAGGTCCTATGTTGAAAAACACCCACCACAAAAAAGGGCTGGTGGAATGGCTCAAGATGTAGGCCCTGTGCTCAAACTCCAGTACCACAAAAAAACAAAAAAACAAAAAACAAAAAGGCGGTGGGGGGGGCGGGGTGGTACCTGAACCCAAGGGCAGACTAAATGCTATTACCTAACAGCCAGAGCATGTCTGTTCTCTGTAGGACAGAGAAAATAGAAAAGCTGAAAGAATTGTGGGTTGTTTCCTAACATGTACCTGTCCTTTCCTCTCTTGGCATAGTTCTAGGATTCCCTAATCAATCCCTGAATTTCACATTCTTAATGCTTCCTTCTCAGAGCCACAGCCCTCCTAAAAGAAAGATTTCAGCAAAGAGCAGAAACTTAGGGAGTGGAAGAGTCAGAGAAAAATGGGTGGAAGTGTATGCATGGAAATGCTGCCAGAGGAGGTTAAGAGCTGACTTCATTGGCATGGTGACCACTTGCTACTCTCTGGAATTTCTGGCTCCAGTGCTAAGCAAATGGAAGATGGTAAAATGTGCTAATATGTGTCCTGAAGCCATAAGCCCTTGGTCACTGAAAAAGACAGCTCCAGTGGACAGATGGAAAAGAGGAATAGGCACCGTGCAGATCTGAAAGGCATTCCCTTGCCTCAGGGAAGTATTGCAATGACTGTGGTGGAAGGAGGGAGACTGGGGCTTCCTGGCCTGTCACTTCTCGATTCTTCTGGATCATGTTCCCTCTGCTGAACGGTGCTAATTGCCAGGGTCCTTTTTTTCAGCTCTAAGGTTTGAGATACATATTCCACTAGTTTTGGCAAAAACCACTTTGAAATGATCAGACTATGCCTAAGTTTACTCTCCCTACTCACTTTAGTCAGGCATTCTACATATAACTTTAAAATTCAAATATACTGTATTCTTCCTTGAGATTTATTCTCACCGCACTATTTTGACCAAGTAAAATGCAGGGAATGGTGCCACATTTGAAACTTATCTGAGAACAAACCAAGCTTCATCTGGACAAATCTGCTAAATTAAAAACCATCTCTGCTTCTCTAAAACCTTTAACCTGTTACGTAGTATCTCTGGAATACTACTGAGCTTGACCTTGTGCTGCTACTAAAGTCGTGGATCTGTGAGGCATGCGATCCCCTTGAGCTATGCGACATTAGGGCCTGGGTGGCAGCAAGAACTGGAACTGCTGGTAGGACTCTGGAAGCCTTGCTACCCAGTCCCAGCACTTTCACACAGACCCAGTTCTGTGCCATTCTCCCATGACTGTAAGGCAACATGCCATGTGTTGACCCGGTCTAGCTAGTCTTCCACAGCTTAGTTTTCAAGGCTTTAGGCTACAATGTAGGCTGGGCACTTAGACAAGTGCCTCTGTTTTCCATCCATAGGCTCCAAACAGAGCCACAAGCAACACCCTACAACACCATGCACCAGAGTACCCACCTTCACCAGGGTGGGGCCAGGCTTTGCTGAGGACACAGCATTTGTGGGGAGGACAGGAGCTGTGGACCTTGTGGGAGGCTGGTCCACAGTCGGAGGAGTTTTCAAGAATTCAGGAACTGGTGCGGCCACTGAAGTAAACTGATGGAAAAGGCAGAAAAGGAAGAAGTCTGTGAAACCAATGATTATAAACAGAAAAATTGGAATTACAAGGGAATGACCTCATTAAAGAACCAAAAAGTCCAATAGGAAAAAAAACAAAGGAAAACTCTCCTACTGTGCCTGAGACCCAGTCGGTGGAACAACGTGCTTTACCTTAGAGGGGCCAGTTATTTAGTCTTTGCTCCTGCAGTGATGAGCAGCTGAACTAAACTGTTGTGTTTTCACAGAAATATGGTCAGGACTACTCTTTTCTGGCAGAAATAAAAGTCTAAGACTTATAAAAATGGTGAAAACAATACATGGTATTTATAAGGTTTTCTTACTAGACCAGTCACACTAACCCTGGCTAATTCAAACATGGCGTTTGGTGTTTGCTACAGAGCTCCATGGAGCCTCTATACAATGCCCCGTCCCCATGGCCAGCAGCATTTTAGTGGTCCACCCTCCCTACCCTTGAGGTCTTCAGTGTGCTGTATAGCCCTGGCTGCTGACTCCAAAGCTGACTGGCACACTCAGTGACATCCCTCAGCCCCATCCTGCAACAGGAGAAGAGCGGAAGGATACGTTGTGAGGAGAATGCTAGGAGGACCACCACACTTACAAGTGACGTTGTCCAGATCAACAGCTACCAAAGCTCCATGTAGAGCTGGAGGTTATCAGAGGAAGCTAGAGAAGGCTCTGGTAAGTTTTATCAGTTCTCACTAGCAATCTCTTTTAGATAGATGTTAAGTATCCATTTACTGGAAACAGAGATTACTGTTGTAATCAATCAGTTGAATGTTGTAGATTATTACTTGGACTTATCACCAGCTTGATTTTAAGGAAAAGGGTCTTCATTTTTTGCTTTTACTTTCCCAAATAATTCTCAAGTTCATTAGATCAATAATCAGAATCAGTTCTCTTGTTGAAGTATTTGGATTTTAAAATACCTAACTGCACTTTCCCTCCTTAAAATAAATGACCTGAAAACTCAGAGGACTATTAGCAGCAAGAAATACGAAGCTTGGCACATACGTTACTCAGTTGAGTATTTGTTTAATTGATGAGTGGCCATCCATGTGGCTAGGTCACATTCTCAAGCCCCTCTGAGACTGTGCGTATTGAGCACGCACTGTGCTCGTCCAGGTCAGTTTTCTCGAGGTTTTTGCTACCGATTTCAGCTTATAAGTAATTATTAGTAAGTACAGATGATATGAAAGACTTGACTTTATAAAGACGGCTGAACTGAATTTCATTTCAAACAGAAATGAAGGGAAAGGACACATCCAAGAGACTCGACACCCACATTGCAGACTTCTGCTCTCAGACAGTTCTGAGGTGTCTGGCTCTTCAGTGAACCTCTGACCATCCAAACTTCTTGCCTCAAGTGAAAGATGATCGCTTAATTGGTCACTTCACAAGATATGGTAAGTTTTCAGAGGGGAAAAACATTCCTTGGCTATTATGTAACTGGTATATGAACTAGAATCAAATGTTTGAATTTTGAAATATATATACATGTATATATATTTATCGTTACAGATAGTCTAATTTACCAACCTAGTCCTCAGTGACTAATGTGACAGTATTGATGAATTTGAGAGCAAGCATGGATATGGTGGCCAAGGTAACTGGTGACAGTGTTTTACCTGTATTTCTAGGCTATGCCTAACTCACCCTTGTCTTCATTACAATTTCTGATGCTCTCATCTCACTAGCGTTTTTTGTATTTCTGCAACATAGTGATTGTTACTACGCCTATGTGGAGATATGTTCCAGCTGAAAAGGCAGGTATGTCTAAACTCATCTTTACACTATGTTGGCCTTTTTGTATGCCTTAGAAATGACCCAAAAAATAACCCCCCTCCCCAAAACTCTACTCAGATCACAAATAGGTGTTGGGTTCCCATTAGCTAAACTTACCAAAAGAACCTAAACACTAAGAATTATAAAATGATGTATTCTTCCAAAAAGGATTAAGAGTATCTTGCCATAAAAGACACTTACTTTGTCCCACAGTAAATTGAACAATGTTAAAATCTTAAAAAGAATACTAGGTAAATGTTTAAGTTGCCACCACAACCTGAGTTCACCGTATGTACTATGAAAAAAATTTAATTTTTAACTTATTCAGAACTGTTTCCTTAAAGAGACAGAAAACATGCAGACTTTACTGACTAATTCTATCTGATCACTATTCCTGCCTCAGGGTACTGAGGTCTTGTGATCACTAGTTCTTTAATTTTCATCATACAAGAACATGTCAGAAAAATGTTTAGTGCTGGATATTTATACTTTAAATAAAAAAGAAGGCATTTTCAATTTTCATTTTTTTGCAGCACTGGGGTGCCTACACCTTGAGCCATTCCACCAGCCCTTTTTTTTTGATGGGTTTTTCGAGATAGGGTCTCATGAACTATTTTCCTGGGCTGGCTTTGAACCTTGATCCTCCTGAGCTCTGCTCCTAATTAGCTAGGGTTACAGGCGTGAGCCACCAGCACCTGGCCCCATTTTCTATCTTAATGTCTGATGTTGTTTTTCTCTTACAAGAAATTGCTGTAAGAAAGTTCTACCACCATAGAAGAAAATGTGGGAGCAAATGTCTAAGCTGAATAACGTTTATCATGTTGCAGGCTCTGCACTGGTTCTTTCTGTAGAACATGGTCTGCTCACCAAGGTCCAGTCATTATTCTCTAGTAAGCTCTTCAGTTAATTAGAATTTTCTTTATGCAATCTTGAGGGATAAAAACTAGGTATTTAAAAACCAAAGCTTTTTATATTGTAGCTTTTAAGTCTACAATAAGTATGTTTTTACTTTAGGATGTAGCAGATTCTTGATTAAGATGGCTATATGCAAATAAAAGACTTGAAATGCAGTTATTCTATAATATTATTTCCATATTTGAATTCTCAGACAAATAAAACAATGAATGAGTTGAATACAAACCAAAAACATGTTTTATATGTTTAACAGATGGATAGTTTATGTAAAATTCTAGCTTTGCTAAAATGTATCACCTAGCACTGGTTGTTTGTTTCTGTAATATATAAATTTAAGCATTTCATTTTCAGAACAAACAGAACATTAATAAAGTGAATTAATTTATTGGCAGTGGACATTCAGCTAGTACCTGATTTGGCTGTATCACTGACAAGTAGTACAGATTTGCATATGCCACTGCTTTAAAAAGTGCATTGTCTGTCACCCTGTACAACTATCAACTCAAAGTGGATTAAGGACTTTAATATCAGACCTGAAACTCTGAAGCTAGGACAGGAAAGAGCAAGGAATACACTGGAATTAATAGGCGTAGCCAATGATTTCTTCAATAGAACTCAAATGTCTTAGCAAGTAAGAGAAAGGATTGACAAATAGGACTATGTGAAATTTAAAAACTTGTGCATAACAAAGGAAATGGTTTCTAAATTGAAGAGGCTGCCCACAGAATGGGAGAAAATCTTTGCCAGCTATACGTAAGACAAGGGATTGATAACCAGAATATACAAGGAGCTCAAAAAACTAAACTCCCCAAAATTCAACGACCCAAAGAAGAAATGGGCAAAAGAACTGAACAGAGCTTTCTCAAAGGAAGAAGTCCAAATGGCTAAAAAACACATGCTCACCAACCCTGGCCATAAAGGAAATGCAAATCAAAACCACATTAAGATTCTACCTCGCTCCTGTTAGAAGGGTTACCATCAAGAACACAAACAACAACAAATGGTGAGGATGTGGAGAAAAAGGAACACTCATACACTGCTGGTGGGAGTGTAAATTAGTTACAACCACCATGGAAAACAGTATGGAGTCTCCTCAAAAAACTAAAAACAGATCTTCCATATGATCCAGCAATACCACTCCTAGGGATATACCTGAAGGAATGTGAGTCAGGTTACAACAGAGGCACCTGCACACCCATGTTTACTGCAGCACTATTAGCAATAACTAAGTTATGGAAACAGTTAAGATGCCCCACTGCTGATGAATGGATTAAGAAAAGGTGGTATTTATATACAATGGAATTTTATTCAGCTACAAGGAAGAATGAAATTTTTGTCACTTGCAGCTAAATGGATGGATCTGGAGAACATCATTTTAAGTGAAGTCAGCTAGGTTCAGAAGGCCAAAGGCTGCTTGTTTTCCCTCATATGTGGAATATAGACCTAATGCAAATACAGCAGTATTACAAAACACAGGTCACACTAAGGGGAGGTCACATATGAGAGGGGGAGAGTGAAAGAAGGAAGTTAAGGTGAATATAGTTGATGTACTCTCAATACGAAAATGAATATAAAATCTTTAAACTGTTTGAAACAACCATGAGAAAAGGACTAAAGTAGAAAGAAGAAAAACAGAGATGAACCAAACTGGGTTATAATACATAATATACATGGAAGTGCCACAAAGAACCTCCCTGTGTAGCTATCTCAAAGAAACAAAAATATCACTGCTTTTTTCTCTCTTTTGCAAAATCGGAGAATAGGAGGGTGGAACAGGTCCTGCCAGGGTGGTGGGGGTGGGCTGATACCAGTGGGAGGAGAAATAGGTTGGGAAAGGGTGTAGGAGGTGAATATGGTGCAAATACTGTGTACACATAGATGTAAATGGAAAAATGATACTGTTGAAACTATTCCAGGAATGGGGGAGAAAGGGGGTGAAGGAGAATGATAGAGGGAGTGAATTAAAGTATGATATATTTGACTCACTGTAGGAACCTTTGTAAATGCCACCATGTACCCCTACCCAGCACAATTTAAAAAAAAAAAGTACGTTGTTGGGCCCTGCACTGGTAGCTCATGCCTGTAACCCCAGCTGCTCAAGACACCACTTGGGATGCTATCAGGAGGAGCTGACAAAATACCTGGGATAATCAACTTAGGAGGGAAGGCTTATTTTGGCTCACAATTTCAGAGGTTTCAGCTCATGGTCAAATGGCTGTGTTGCTTTGGGACGGTGGAAGTATGTGCCAGAGGAAGTCTGTTCACCTCCAGGCAGCTGG